TTCCTCTGGTGTCTGAACACATGTGCTTGAGAAGCTGTTCAGTGAGGTCCCCACTTGCAGTCAGTGCAAGAAAGGGAAGCGCAGCAGGACAGGCTGGGACTGGGGCTTGGACGGCCGTGGGTTGAAGCAGTGACAACCTTCAACTGCACTGGGAGGGAGGAGCCTGCCAGGATGCCAGGCAGGCTTGGATAAAAGGAAAACCAGAGGAAAACTCCTCATTCTTGACAGTTTTTCACCAAGAATAAAACTGCTTGCAGTATATTATTTTACTTATACCTTTCTTTGTTGTTAAAAGTGACACACGGGCCTCTTCCAGCTTTGCTTTGGGACTCTGAGTGATTCATTAAACCCTTCTTTGCCTTGTTTTCCCTTCTTGTATAAAGCAGAAAGTTGCACAGGGACTCTGCTGATGGCTGGATGTGCTTCCTGCCCTTCCCTGGGAAGCTGCCATCCCTCAGAGGGGCAGCAGGGCACCAAAAACGTGCCCCTGGCTGTGCTGGCCCCACACCTCCCATTACTGGGCTGCCCCTGGCCTGTGCTCTGCTGTGTGTCTGAACAAAGCTGGGCAGGAAATGTTTTTCCCAGCTAGAGAAACATTTTGTTCCCATTCTATGTTTGAGCCAAATGGGGTTTTCTTGAGGCCTTTTTTTTCTAAACAAAGGAATAAGTAAGCAAACAAGTCTGCAAGAAGCTGATTGGAACAGCAAAGGACAGACAGTGGATTTGTTGAACAGGACTCCAACAAGATATGAGAGTACAGTTCTATGACCTAATTCAGGCTTGTGACTTGAAACCAGACCTTGCACACACAGATCACCAAGTTGCAGGAAAGGCTGGGATGGTGTGACTCTCTTTCCCTAGAAACTGCATCCCTGGCAGAAGTTACTCCAAACTCAGAACTCCCACAGAAAGTTTCTGTTTTGATAACATGCCATTTTCCAACGAAAAAAGATTTCCATCTAAATGCTCCCCACCCTGTTTGCCCACAGACTGACATTGTTCACTTGGATTTCGATGCCCAGGGGACTGGAGGATGTGTGTGCATCAAAGACAGCCTGCCCAGATTGTGGAGAGGGGCACATCCAGCGAGGGCTCGGCAGCTCTCCTCGGGATTAGGGCAGCTCCCATTGGCAATGCCACTGTCTGTGGGAGGGGATGTGGGACTGGGCTGGACTGTGGACCCTGGGGACTGATGGCTTTGCTTCTCTTTACTGGCTTAGGGACCCACATTACACAGGTAGCCAGCACCTTGCCTGTCCTAGAGGGTAGAATATGACTCCAAAGCACCCTGTACATCAAATAAATAACAGCTGAATTCATGGGCCAGGCAGTGTTTTAGCCCAGAATAATGCAGCAAACTGCAAGGCACGTTTACAATGTCCTGCCTGCTTCCACCACCACTTCTAGGGGCTTGAATTGACACGGCATGGAACACTGTCCACCCAGGAAGGCAATAAAGAACCGGGTACAGTGAAATGCTGTGGGTGTGCCAACCCTCTGTCCTTAAAGGCAGCCGCCACCCAGGTCCCAGACACTGAAACTAAGAGCACTAACATGGAAAAATGCCTTTCAATGCATCGCCATGTTCTGCTTACTTCTCTTCCTGCAGGCAAAGCTGGGCTCTGGCAGCCCAGGGCAGCTGTGAACACCAGCTCTGCCCAGCTGGAAGGGCCAGAGCTGCTTTGGAGAGTAACTCTGCTCTGCAGAACATGCCTCTGTCAGGGTTCTCTCTGTCAAGCTGAAAGGAAAGGCATCAAAGTGCATCTACCTGAAGAACCAGGGCAGAATTACCCATCAAAAATTTAGGATTACAGGCTCAACTTGTCTCTTCCCGCTGAGGGAGGCAAACAGGCACCTTTCAAAGGAGGTTTGTGAGACTGAGGTTTGCACAGATGGGCTGAGTCAGAAGAGCCCATCTCTGCCGGCCCTGAGCAGAGCAGCCCAGGAACTATCCCAGAGGAGACACCCAGCAGTCAGGTTAGAGACATCTGACCTTTGGCTGAGGCTAAAAACAGCAGACAGTGGAGGATGCAATGCCAGACCCTGCCCAACAGCCATTCCCTGCCAGAGTACGAGACTACGTAGGATGAGCAACAGAAGCAAGACAAAGAGAAGGGTTTGCCAGCTCTGGAATTGTTCCCTGTCCTGTTGAGATGTATCCTGTGTCAGACCAATGCCACAAGGGTGGCAGATGCTCCCAGGGATGGCCAGGCAATCCCTGGGTCAGGCCATAGCTAATACAGGTCTCACACACTGCACTGCCTCGGTCCTACAAAACACACAGTGCCTCGGGGTGGACACAGCCCTGGTATTCTGCCCAAATTCCTGCAGGTTATTGCTTTCCATCCCAGTTGTCTGGTATTTCCACCAGACACAGCAATATTCACTCCCTTGTGTTAGGATTATTTTTATTTAGTTATGGTCACACTGATACAACTGCTGGGTGCCTTTGCAAAGCTAAAAGCGCTTCATTGGTGATCTTTTCTAACCCTAATTCAATTCCCATGATTGTTGTGAGGCTGAGATATTTGTTAATATTAGTAAAGAGCTCTGAGTTCCTTGGATGGAGTAACTGTCATGGAAAAACAAGTTGTTTTATTATGAAGAGGTCCAGTTAGCAAATGACTTTTCCCATCTGTATGAACAGAACATGCTGTTGTGTCAGGGAAGCCTGCTATGCTTTGGAAAAGCTCTAACAGGTTGCTTCAGGCACATGAAGATGCTCAGGAACAAAACGTGCCCTCCTTACAACTGGGGGGGTTTATTTTGCATATTTTGAGGGAGAAAATAAAGAATTAAAAATAGCTCCCAGGACGACTTGACCAGGTTCTCACACTGAATTCCTTGTGAAACCACACTCCAGATGCATTTAATCTCAATTAAAAGATCAATTACATTTATCAGCAGATAAAAGATTATCTGGGGCATTACACAAATACAACACAATTTATTATCACGTGGTAAGTAACCTCCAATGAATTCTTAAACACCTCCACATAAATCCTAAATAAACTACAGTCCTCTAATTATGGTAGAGTTCTCATTCTCCAGTTAAGTTCCTACAAGATTAGTCTTTGCTATTATCCATAACTATTTAGAATTCTGTTACTGTAACACAGGTCTGGGAGGAGTCGTACGTTCCAAGGTTTCATTTTAGGCATAGAAAATGCATTTGCCTTCTTAAGAATTACCTGAGCATTTCTGTGAAAATCAGCATTAACCAGTGACATCGGGAGATGTTGAGAAAAGTGTTCTTGATTTAACACTCTTGCAAGAGAAATTATACTTCTTGTTCAAAAACCTGGAAACATCTGAGGGTATCCTGTGTTCAGTTTGTTGCTTGAATTTGGGATGTTTCTACCCCAGATGTCAATTCCGATCTTCTGAAGTTTCCTTTGGATTTGTAACTCTCAGAACTGCACCTGTAACCGGCCCTTTGCTCAGTGCATTCCAGTGCAGCACACAGACCTGTTCCCAGCATCTTCAGCTGGGCTTAAACCACGGCAAGAATTTAGAAGTGGACTAAATAAAAGCATGAAAGACTCCATCATACCCTGAGTTCAGTATCACTAAACCCTCAATCAACACGCAGCACGAGGTCTAAGGCACCTGCTCTGTCTTCTCTTGAAAACAAACCGAAGAAAAGTAACAAAAAAATACATTAAACCCCATGTAACTGGTGTGTGAGTAGAATATGTGCTGGGAAGTTTGATGTGAGCCCGAGATTCCTTATAGGCACAGGAAAGAAAATGGGAAAAGGAAGCAGAGATGTCACCAGGTGAAGAGCTCCCTGGAGGGACAAAATCACTCCCTCCCCATCCCCTGAGTCTGGCTGCATTTCCAGAAGTGCCCCCTACACGCTCTGGGACATCTCCTGGGATGCCTGGCACTAGCTAAGCACAGCTGAGGCTGGGCTGGCCCAGGAAGGAGTTGTGCCTTGAAGCAGCCCTGGACCAGGAAAAGTCTGTGCTCTCCAGGGGTGAAAGGGGAAGGGGAAGCACATCACAGGAGTGCTCCTAATTAACCCGGAGATTAGCTCAGTTGGTTAGAGCCTGGTGTTAGAGATGCCAAGGTTGTGGGTCCAGTCAGGTTCAGAGTTCAGTCCCTGAAAGGGCCATTCATGGAAGAGCTCGACTTGGAGGTCCTGGTGGGTCCCTTCCCCATCAGAATATTCTGTGATCTGAAGAAATGCTTCCATCCCTGCTGAAATCCTGCCTGGCATGGCAAGAGAAAAGCACGTGGACAGTCTGGAAGCCTGGACATGAGGGTGGATCTGTCCACACCCAAGTGCCTGGAGATAACGCTCAGGTGACAGAGCTGCTGTGAGAAACCAGGAGCCACCAGGGAGGCACTTGTGCTGTGTGAATAATTACACCACTGGGGTTGCCCGAATTATCCTATTCAAACAAGAAACCTTCTGTGCACCCCAGGAGAAAGGGATGCACAGCTGTGGCAGCAGGAAAGGGAGGATGGAGGTGACATTCCAGCAGGATACAGTGAGTGGCACAAAGAGAACCCCAGACTGCTAACTAACCAGAGGAAGGAGGGCACAGAGTGCAAGAGAGCCTGTTCCTCAGCTGGTGTCCCTCTGTGCTCCCTTTCCCAGTGTCCTGGAGCCCTGAGAGCCCCTTTCTGGGGCAGGACGGGGGGAAGATGTTGCCATTGACGCTCATGCGGCTCCGGCTCTGCAGGGACAGGCGATGCGGGGAAGCAGCGGGGATTCATTTCTTTGCCCCATCTCAGGCAGCAGCAACAGGAAATCCAGGAGCTCTGTGAAATGACAGGGAGGGAGAGAGAGTGAAGTCCCCTTGCCTCGACTGGTGACGTCTCTCCTTCCTCCTTTTTTTTTTTTTTTTCCTGTCCCTATAAAGAATCTCGGGCTCGCATCAAACTTCCCGGCGAAAGCCACGCGAACCCAGAGGGGTGTGGGGAGAGGGAGAGAGCAGCACGTCCGGGGGTCCGGCCATGCCCCAGCCCCGCTGCCCGCCCGGGCACCGCGCGGTGCCCCCCGGCAGGTAGAGCCAGGTGGGGCCGCGGCAGCTCCCGCTGCTCCTGCCCTTCTGGAACCCAGAGATTTGTCCCTCCTGCCGCCCTCCGCAGCACCTGCACCTCCCTGGATAAATACATCCAAGAAGAGGCTTTGCGGCGCAGCCACCTTATCCCAAACTCCAGGCAAAGGACTGCCGGGAGCAGCGACTCGCTGAGTGGAGGAAACTTTTTGCCAAACTTTTTTCTGGTGCTTTTGCTTCGCTTTTTAACCCCTTGTGTTCCTCAGCACCAGCCAGGCGGGCTGGGGAGGCTTCTGAGGCAGAGCAACGCTCCCCTCAGGCACCCCAGGGATTAGAGAAACGGGGGGAAAGGAGGAATAAGGTTATTGTGGAGAGGGTGGGAAGAAAAAACTAAGAACTCGCACCTCGAGAAGAAAGGAAGGAAAACACACACCGCAGCCCCAGGATGAAGCAGTGAATGGAAAGAACAATTTAACTGGAATCAACAAGTGGGAACTTCTGCACGCCTTGTCCTTTCCCCCCTCCCTTCCCGCTGCAGCCCGCGGGCTTTCACAAACTTATTGCTGGAAAAGAAAACTTGTCCCGGATTGCGGACCTCGCCTCGCACGGGATCCAGAAGTCGCTGGCAGTGGCCCCGGCGATGCTGCCCAGGCCGAGCGCCGTCCTGGCCGTCTGCGCCCTTCAGGGGCTGCTCCTGCTGCACGGTAAGAGCCGGCACTGCCCATCCTCTCACCTGCGGGGCAGGGGGCACGGGCAGGGCGGGGGCGCGGACCCGCCGCTTGGGTCCCGCCGGTGCGGTCCCTCGGGGGGCCTGAGGAGAGCGCTCCGTGACGCTTTTTGTGCTTTTTTTGAGGCTGTTTTGGCTCCTGCGGAGCCCCGCCGGCCCGAGCGGCCCGGGGAGGTGTCACCCACCTCGCACCCGCAGCACCCACCGGGCAGGTGCCGCCTTTGTGCCCCCAAACCCACCCCTGACGCCTCAGGTTTCACTTATTTAACATATATATTTCACATATATATTTCACATGAAAACTGATCTTTGAAAGTAAAGGTTAAAAAAAAAAAAAAAAAAAGAGAGAGAGAGAGAGAACTCCTTGAAGGTGTTGCTTGCATGGCTGATGATTTTTTTCCCCTCGAGGTTTGGACACTTGGTTAAAAATAGCGAGTTGCGGGTATTTGCCAATTTGTGGCTTTTTCCCTCGGTGTGGGAGGGTTTCTGGCTGTATTTGGGAGGGTTTCTGGTTGTGTTCGATCGTTTGAGGCAGAGCTGAGGTAGAAAAGGCTTGGAAAGGAGGAGCTGTGGTGCGTCTGGGAGTTGCCCGGGCTATCCTGGTGTCCTGGGCTCACGTCAGAGCTGTGGGCAAACCCCGATTCTCTTTGATATTCCCCTTCTTATCCTTTGATATTTCAGTTTTCATTCACATGGTGTTTCTCTGCTGCCTTCCCCTTCTCAGCACAGGTGCCAGGCTAGATTGCCCGTTCTCCAAAACTCATTTTCCTTGCAGCAAACGCAGTGTCCCCCCGGATTTATTCCCGATTTTCGCTGATATCAGAAAAGCCAAGAGGCAGGTTAATGAGATTTAGAGGAGCTTTTCCATCTGCCGTATGACTTTTCATTATCTCATTAAGCATGAGGATTTCGCTGGATTACTGAGCCATTCATTCATGACGCTGCAAATTGTGTAAGGGAGATGGTCTGTTGTTTACTGGGGAATTCCTTCTGACAGAAAGGCTTTTTTATTATTTTGGATAGGGAATGTATTTCACAGCACACGGCTGTTGCTGCTTTAGCATATTATAATCTTTTCACAGTTAAGAGGATAGCTTCTGGAAACACTGGGGAGCATCACTGTCCTTGATTTTCTTGGATTCATTCGGGGATTTAATGTATTCCCTCTGCAGAAAGGAACTGATTGGCAGGCACCAGCCCCAGCGAACTTCACATCTCCCCTGCAGTATCTTCCCCACAGCTGTCTGCAGAATAAATAGCTAAACCTGTGCTCCAAAGGGCTTGCCCAGCTTTTCCAGGAAAAGCTGAAGCAGCAACTATGGCAGGTGGAAAGGACCCCTCACCACAGGGACACCTGTGATCTGCAGTGCCCGTGTAACCCCAGGGAAGGTGCCCACATTTAACCCCAGGGAAGCCATCCTGTCCCACACCAGACACCAGCACCCACACCTTGAGCTGCACCTGGCACTGCATCAGGAGCTCCCAGAGCCCTGGGAGGGTTCCCACAGCATGCTCCATCTGGCTGACACGTGCAGGAGCAGCCAGCTGCATGCTACAGGAATTCCAACGCCTGGATAGGCTGGAGAAGTTGCCCATAGAAGGCTTGTCACCAGATATCCAGTGTGGATTTCACAAAGGCATAAATCACCACGGAATCCTGAGGATCACTGAGGGATAATAACAAATTTTTGGGGGGTGGGAGGAAACGTGGCTTGCCACGAGTGATCCTGAGGCTGCAGGGTGGAGTGGAGCACAGTGAGTTTGTTACTGAGGAGCTGGGGCAAAGGCAGAGATGCTGCCCACGTTTCAGGGCTGCTCAGGTCCTTACTCACCAGATTCCTGTCCTAGTAATTTTGGCCCTAATAACCTTGGAATTTGGTCCAGATTCATTTTCCCATCAGTGCCAGGCACAGAGGAGGCCAAGAGAAGGCAATGCCTGCATCCTGAGACAAAGGAAGGAACCACATCCCTAACTGTCCCCGTAGGCAAAGAGTGATGATGGACTTGGAAGCAGCATTATGGATGTCAGAGCCCTGTCCATCATTAGGGAGAGATAACACATTAGCACAGCCTCTGGGTGCCCTAATTAGGCTGGAAGCCAATGTGAGACAGGGCCAGGAAGTCTGAGGATTCTGGATAGCACTGATGCTCTGGAGGCATTAACTCCTCAGCCACCCTTCCCTCCGAGTTCACCTCCAGCAATGAACTCAATGAAACTCTGCCTGACGTGCCAAGGCCTGGGTGTGTCCTGCAGGCTGGGGGTCAGACCCAGAGTTAGGCAGAGTTGTGCTGAAGAGGCTGACTCTGACTCAAATCCAAACAATTCTATCTGCAATGCAGATAGAAGGAGAGAGGCACAACTGTGAGAGCTGCTCAGGACTGAGGTATTAACTCGTCAGACACCTTGTCCTCAAAGTTCATCTCCAGCAATGAAACTCTGGCCTTTAAATTATCCAGCACAAAGGGTGGTCTCCTTGAGAGAACTCCTGACTAATTTGGTGCTTTCAGCAGGGGGAAGAGACCATACAAACACCGTCCCAATAACTGCCCACCTTATTATAAAATACAGCTTTAAATACATCTTTAAGTTTCCTAGGACAGGTCTACGAGTATCATTGAATTTCCACTTTCCTTTTTCTTATTACACAGCTCATGTTCAGCTCCTCAGAGTACTAGTTAGGGTCTTTCTGCTCAGAACCTTTGATGTAGTAATTACTGTGCAGATGCCAAAAGCTGGCCCCCGTTTTAGGTATGGAGTGGGATGGTTAATAATCAGCCCTTTGAAAAACAATCTGCAGAGAAATTGTTACATGAGCAACACCTTAAATTGTGCATGAAAAATTTAGTATCTTTTACCCCCTGACATTATCATCAAAAAGGTTTTCAGTATGTGAGCAGTCCAAGGAACTCTTCAGGTACTGGGATAAACTCCGTGGTTTAATACTGGGAAGTATTAAAGACTGAAGAATAAAAATTAGGTCCTGGCCAATCCCTTTGAAATTAAAGCACGTTTGAAACTGAAATTTTTTGTTTGTTTAATTGTGCAATGTCTCCTACAAGTAGAATATGCTGGATGGGCAATGTAGCTTGTCAACACACATTTCAAGTTATTCAGTTATACTACATATGAGTAGCTGAGTCAGAAGCTTCAGGAGCTTGGACTCCTCCTGGTTTTCCGACTGGGATGGTCCCTGTGTGCAGCTGGGATGAGGGTGGGCTCAGTGCTGCACACTGCAAAGTCAGAGGCACCGAGGGGTGGCTTTGGGGGCTCCCCAAGGCAGTTGGTGCTGACCAGTTGAGAACGGGGGGATCTGACAGGACAGGCGGTCGAGGGGTTTGGGTGAACCAAAACTGTGTCTCTTAATTGGTGTTATTCCTAGAGAGTTGCTTTACTGTGGGAAAAGGTTATAAAAAGCAGAGAAGCCTTTTTTTAAGATGGTGATATATGAGCCTCCTGCTGAAGCTGCCACATTCAAAACCAACTGGAAATCTCTTTACCCTAATTCATCCATTTAAGGCAAGGAAAAAAATGTGAGGTATTTCTGAATACTCCCTGAACTTCTAAAAAACAGCACCATATCCAAAAGAATACTGGGAACACCAACCAGATTGTTTGTTGAAGGTTTCTGTTATAAGAACTTTTAATATTTCCTTTGACAATTATAAAAAGGATTTATCTGTGCACATTTCCCCCCATTGGTCTGCTCCTACATATAGATGTGAGTAAGAGCAACAGGGTTATCTCTGTCCTTTCACACATTCCCTGAATTGTTCATTTTATGATGGAATATTCGTGCCAAGCTCACTCTACTGCAGTTTGAAGTGATATATCAAGTTGGGCTGAATGGAGGATATTTATGTTGCTGGTAGGTTTATGCACCAGGGCAAAAGGTTTCCAAGCACAGCAGGAGATTTCTTAGGTACAGTCAGTGGTAGGTGATCTGTGCTTTTGGTAAGTTTGTCTTCCAAATTGCCAGCACAGTTTGAAGGAGGGTGAAAACCTGCCCTATGCCAGATTTATGCAGAGATGAGACACATCTTTTGCTTCCAGAGACACTTGCAAAGTATATGCAGCGAGGGTCACTTGATCATCAGCAAAGGACAGGGTGAACAAAGAGGCTGCTTTCAGTTTACATTGCAGAACAGCTTTGGGGGCAGCAACAGCAACCTGCATTTTTTAAAACTGCACAGGAAATTTCCAGGAGGCAGCGCTTGACTTTCAAAGAGAGTCTGAGAAGGACAGCGAAGCACAGCCCTACCAACTTCACATGCTCAGCCTGATACTTCCTCTATCAGTCCTGCCCCACCTTTCCTTTTCTCCCTACACCAGCTTGATGTCACTAGAATGGGAATTACCAGTGGAAGTAATCAAAAGGTATTTGGAGTATCTAAACAGGAGCTAGGAATGAAATAAATGTGTCCCTGGTGTTTTCCTCCAGAAAGCAGCTCAGATGACTGACAGGACATGGAGGTTCTGAGTGCCAATCAGGACATTCCTGTTCCCTTCGGGAAGAGCATCTAACTGTCCTCAGTCACAGCCCCCAAGAAAAACTGGCCACCCAGATCAGCTGGCACAGAATATGTGTAACAGAGAATGATCTCCTCACCACGGCAGGCACTTCTTTAATTTTCCTTTTTAAGGCCACAGAGAAAATAGGAGGAGCTGCCGATGCGAACCAGCCAAGGTTGTTGTCTGGAAATGGCATTTAGCAGAAGTGCCTGCTCGAAGCTTGCCCCAGGGTGCAGGACTGGGCAGCAGAGAGCCTGCAATCACCAGGGGCCAGGCAAGGCTAGAACAAACCACCTGCACCGAGGGGCGGCCTCAGAGGCCTGTCCTGAGCTGCTGCTCTGTGGGGAGGAGGAGGAAGGTGCAGGAGGGAGGGGAGCCTGATCTCCTGAGGCCGTGATGAGCAAAACTGATGGCTGCCCATTTTGTGCGAATTCCTCGCTGCTGAGTGCTGGACAGGCTTCCAGAGG